AAGGTAAAGTAGGATTTCTCGATGTGTCTGATGGGTGCCACCCATTGAGACTGTGAAATAAAGGCTGATTTAGCATAACTGTCACCATTCTGTACATTGCTACGTTGCTCTGTACTTGTGTAATCTGAAAACTGCCAATATTGTAGTAACTGAGTGTAGGCATTTGTTGACAGACCAGTTGTTTTAATCTCTAGCAGAATGAACAATTAGTCATTATGCCCTAATAACTGTGCTCATCACATACAGCAAACCTGTCCTTTTCTCTTTGGCTAAGCTTCCCTGTCTGAATTTTTACCTTAATTGAAATAGTGTATTTTATAAAATCCAAAAGCTTTAACTGACGTGATGGATAGCATTTGGCTTCACTTGAATTGAGAAAGGAAATCTTGCTAGTCCTTACCACTGATATGAGACTTCCATTTAAGCAAGACCGAGAATGGTGTGTGTGTGAGAACTGCAGTGGGAAATGCTTCCCTTCTTGGTGCTTCAGAAATCTCTTTTTTTAACTTAGTCTCAGCGTCTGTATGATTTATCCAAATTAACGCTCAAACCTGCACAAAGTCACCTACCATAAAAACATATTTAGATTGAGGGTTTTTTGCATTCAAGAAATTTGATATAGTAAATGTGCAATTCCTTAGATAGACGTGTGAAAAAAGCTGTTTTTGTGAACCACTGATGATCAGATATTCTGGATTTGTGAACTCTTTAAGTTTGCACTTTCTTGTCACTATGAAGACTTTTAACTGGAACAGTGTCCGTAAATCAAATCTTGGAAACTACGTCAATAAAACACTATCTTAAACTTTAGGTGGTGTTTTGGGAGTAACCAGAGTAATACATGGAGAAACTTCAGGTGTCTTCTGCCTTTTGCTTTTGGGTTTTCTAAAGAAATACCCAACTATAACCTAATTTTTTGTTACTTGGTGCTACATGGATAAGGCTCTCACACTGTGTGTGAAGCTGTCGTTCTCTTGAATGAAAAAGGTTTTGTCATGTAGACTTTTAAAATATTAGGTTGTTTTTGTTTTGGCTTGTTCAAATGAATTCTTTTTTAAAGTCTCAATGTGTTGAATAATCAGCATTGGTTGCAACTGTAATGGATTTGATTGAGTTTTCCTGAAACAGTTTTCAGCAGAAATAACTTCCTATCTCAACTGGACTAAAGTGCAGTTGAGGTTTCTGCCTGTCACTTTGTATTGTAAGTTAAGTGTCTCTTGCTATTTGTGCATTTTTAATTTATTTTTTTTTTAGTTGCCCATAAACACCACATTTTGTATGGACTGTCCCTTTCATTTAATTGTTCTTCCTCAAGTGGTAGCTGAGCCAGAGGCTTTTTACTACCAAAAGGGGAGGTCATCATCTTGTTGAGGCTCATGGAAATGCCTGCATTTACCCTTCGGTATCACTCTGGTTTTGGAAAACAGAACCCTCTTTTAGAGCATTTATTTCTGGAAAAAATCCGGTGTCAATACAGCTGTAAGTGCTTTTCAATTCCTGTGTGTTAAGTGAGACTACTGGATTTCATTCTTTTATGTGAGCTTCTTGTCTGTATGAGCTGGGGAAATAATGGCTTTTTCAGATAATCATCACAGATAAATGAATTTGGTTTAACTTCTGAAGAAAAGTGGGTTAGTTTTAAATTTGGTTCACAAGGGCAGATAGCAAAATGCAGAGTGTCTCAGCTGACAGACTCTCCACTTCTGAGGACACATTAGACTTTTTTCCTTCTGTAAACATGAATGTACTTGATGAGATGTTCATTGCAAATTTGCATGATTGTGTTTTTCTGTTCTATAAAAAGTGTCATCTATGATGAGTTAGCACACTGGAAAAAATCCTCAGTGATGAATTGAATTTACTAGTAAAATGGGTTTTTTGGTTCTGTCCTGAGGAAACATCTGCTACTATTGAATACTTCTGAATTAATATTACTTATACTGTACCTAATCAGGCTGTAAGAATATTTTTTACTAATAGTGAAAAAAGAAGCAAAACCAGTTTTGCATTACCGAACAGCTGAAAGTGAGGTACTATTCCAGTTTTAGTACAGATGTAATGTCTCACCTTACAGATGTTAGCAGTTTAAAGCACGTGGTCATTCAGAGTGCAGTTTGGGCACCCAAGTTTTGCTTAATTTTGCTTATATAGCTGCTGCCAGCCCAAAACTGATGGACCCGTTACTTCAGGACTGCAAATGTCTCCTAAGTCTTGTTTCTCTGCTTGCCCAGAGCTAATCTGCCCTTGGCAGGGTAAGAAGTCCTGTTTACCTGAAGTTAAGGAACATAGAAAGTGTCCCTTCATCTGACTTTGAGCTGGAAGTCAGCCTGATAATAGTCATGCTGAAAGTGCACAGCTAAATACCTGCTCTTACGTGTGAGGTCTGAGCCCTGACTCTGTTCAGTAGTGTTGGGGTTTAACCTCAGCCAGCAACCAAGCCCCACACAGCTCACTCTCTGCCCCACCAGTGGTACTGGGGACAGAATTGGAAGAGCAGAACCTAGAAAAACTCATGAGTTGAGATGAAGACGGTTTAATAGGGAAAGCAAAAGCTGCATGCACAAGCAAAGCAAAACACAAAATTAATTCCGTGCTTCCCACGGGCAGCAGGTGTTCAGCAATCTCCAGCAGAGCAGAGCCCATCACACATAGCAGTTCCTTGGGAAGACAAACTCCATCACTGTAAATGCCCCCCTTCCTCCTTCTTCCTCTCACCTTATATACTGAGCATGATGTCCTATGGTATGGAATATCCCTTTGGTCAGTTTGGGTCACCTGTCCCAGCTGTGTCTCCTCGCAATCTCCTATGTTTCCCCAACTTCCTTGATGTTGTGGCAATATGAGAAGCAGAAAAGGCCTTGGCTCTGTGTAAGCTCTGCTCAACAATAACAAAAACATCTCTATATTACTATCATTGTGTTCAGCACAAATCCAAAATACAGCCCCATACTAGCCACTGTGAAGAAAATTAACTCTACCCCAGCCCAAACCAGCACAATCAGCCATTTGAGAAAATGTCATAGTGCCAGAGCCTTGTAGCCTATCTTGCCCTTCTCCTTCATGAGTGCTTTAATAGTACGATAGGTTAGCCATATTTCACATCCTTTATATTTCTTTGGATTGAGCACTGAGCTGAGTACAGAGTACCCTGACTGAGTGTGCAGGTTGGTCGTTTGGATAATCTGAGTAATGCAGATGAGTTTGCATTGCATTGGTTCAAAGGAGACAATCCAAGTCATGCTTTCTTCTTGGCTGGGCAAGTGCTTTAGTAAGTAGCTGTAGAAGAAGATGCTCTTGCCTCTCCATGTCTCTTTTGAAAAGAGTTATTAAACCGCATGGCATTTATCTCAGTACAATGCAAGTTTACATTTATATGGAAAGAGGAGTTTTGACATAGGTATTTGAGGCAGCACATAAAGGCTTTCTGCAATCCAAAATGTAGCCTTCAGTTTAGTAAGCAGCTTTTGCATTTCCGTTAGCCAGCTCTGAGTGGTGGTGTGCTGTTAGTGAGCAGGAAGGTGCCTGGGCTAGTCACGTGGTGTGTCACTGAGGTTTGAACACTGCAAAGGACACAGCCAAGCTCTCAGGGCACTCAAAGCTTGAACCAACTTTCCTGCAGTCCACTGTCTGAAACTCGGGCCCTGTCAAGAACCAAGGGCCCAAGTGCTGGCTCTGTTGCTACCCTCGGTTGTAAAAGCTGTTCACAAGTCAGTTCAAGAGCTCTAGCATGCTCAGACAGTTCTTTTGTAGTTTCAGATACGTATAAATGTGTAAATGTAAAGCATTCTTTGGTTAATTTTAGATATTTGTTAATGGAGTTTGTGCTTCTCAAACACCTCAGTTTCAAACAGTACTCCCAGTGAGTGCAGACACCGAATCTGCCAGCTCTTTATTCCATAGAAATGTAATTGAAGGTGTTAGAAATGGGAATTATGGTTCAGGTAGTATCCTGTATTTGAATAGCAACATCATATCAAGGATGCAAGAGAGTTTTGAGCGTCTGCTGAACTTTGATAACTGCAAAATGTGAAGGATAGGAACTTTTGTCAGGTTAAGTTAGGGAACTAACATTAATTTATATTTTTTTTATGGTGGGTGCTCTTTACAGTTTAAGGGGGAAAGGAGAATGAATGAAAGCAAGTCTGCTGAAAGCAAGTTTGAATGAAATCTACCTGCAAGGAAGGTTGTTTCGTATTAAAAATAGTATTTTTGTGTTCCTTTTGCAAGCACATATGTCTATAGCTGTGCAGTGAACCGGGTCAGGGAACTGGTCTGAAAAAAGAGAATAACCATTCTGATTTTGCTCACTGTGCTGTTGTACAAAGGCTTGTGCAAGCAGAAGAAGGGAGAAAGCCAGGGCAGGTGCACATATTTTACTGGAAATACTGCCTTATGCTGTTTTCTCTGCAAGAAGTTGTGGCTGAAGGCAATTGTGGGAGGGCTTGCTTTAATTAAGGTCTCAGGGTGGGGGTTTTTTAAGCATTATCTGCTGATACTGTGGTACTAAGAAGTCTTAGGTAAATGCAGGTGAAATTGCATGCTTTAGTGTCTGCCTAGTGTTTTTAAGCCTATGTAATCTATTAGTTACTGTCTAACCGTGTACTTTTTGGAAAGTATAGAACCATAGGATGTATAGTAAAATTAGATGTTTTGAAGATCAAATCTATCTTCATTATGGTTTTTGGCTCTCTTGGATTGTGTATTGATTCCTAGGCATCCATGGGCTGAAAGTTGAAATAGATTTCAGTATGTTATTGATCTTATTTGTTGTGTTCATCTTTTTATTTTTTGCCAATAATGCAGAACACAAGTGACTCAATTTCTTTATCTGCTTCCGTTGCATATAATCTCCTCTGTTCTGTTTGAAGAGGTGGAACTTTGTTTTTACAGAGTAGTTAATGCGAAGAAATAAGTGAAACAGTGGAAGTTGTACAATTTCATGTCTGGCTATTAAAACTATCTAATGCATGACTGGTGTGAATAGCAGTGAATACATCCACATGATTGTTTTTGTATTTCAGGTGCGTATAGCAGCAAAATTCATAATTCATGCTCCTCCTGGGGAATTCAATGAGGTATTCAATGGTAAGTATCTGCCTGCTCTGTCCTTTCATTTAAAGCATCCATATCCAAAATTGTGTTGCTGATTACTCTCCTGAATTTCCTGTGGTTTATATTGTAGCAGCTCCCATGCTGTAAGAGCTGGTTTTGTAGCTTGGCATAATAAGATTTGCAGTTACAAGACAGCTTGAAGTTTAAATGCAAAAGGAGGAAAGTACTACTTTTCTTTGTGATGTGAGAATTAGCTTTCTCTCTGTTTTTAATTAGTCATGAATTAACAGTTGATTGGGTTTTTGTTTAGAAGACACATGTACTCTTTTCAGTCCTTGATAGACAATTACATTTTTCAACAGAAATTAAACTTGAGAGATTTAAATGGTCTTTTTTTTTCTTCTTAAGAAGGAATATGATTAGGAAAAGTTAACCTTGAATGTACAAAGGACTACTGCCCAATGCCAGTTGTGGAAATAATATCAATCTTTTCCAAACTTTTCTAACCCTTAAATTCTGGGCACACTTGATTTTACTGAGTGTATTGATAAATTGAAACTTAAAATTAGCTTCTCTCAACTATTGTTGCTTGAAGCTTACCTGAGATGTTACTTTTCTTTTACAATTGCTGTGTTTGTCTGGCCATGTGGCCATGCACGTTGTATAAAAAGGCAATTTTATAGCTGTGGCTAACAAATGTGTCTGTTGCTATTTAAGCAAAGAAGTAAGTTTAGTGTACTAAACCTCTAGTCAATGTCAGATTGGAGTGAGCTTAAATTTGTTAAAGAATGCAATGTTTTTACAAGTACCTTGTTCTTCACTTAAACTGTGACCAGCTGGTTATTATTTAAACTTAACTAGTACTGCATTTGTGAAGTGAGCAGTTGGTAAGCAGCTTGACTTAGCTTGCTGAAGGCTATTAAAATTTCTTACAGTAGTACTGCTGTAAACCTCATTGTTAAGCTAGTTCATAGTTGCAACTACCTGCTCAATAACAGAGTATAATACGTAACAATACATAACAAACATCTGATGATAAATGTGTGACCAGTGCTCAGTGAGACTCAGGCTGCCTTCTTGAATAGAGAGAGAAAGCTTTAAATCCCAATTCTGTACTATTTGTGTTTTATTCATTTGGTTTGGCCTGGGATTTTTTGAGTTGGTGGGGTTGGGTTTTTTTCCTTTTATAGTGTTTGTGGTTTGGTTTTTTTCAGGAGGTTTTTTTTTTTAATAAAAAATGCTTCAAATATATTCCAGATTTCTTTTTCCACTTGAATGATACCTCAGGAGTCTTTAGAAGAGTTTAATATTAATGTTATAGCCAGACTAACAATTGGTTATTTAGTGAGTGGTGCATTAGATTCTTATTAGAACAGTGCCTAGTAAATAATAAGGCAGTAAGTCAAGTACATAAATAACAAATTTGCTGCATAGTAAATATGAAGTAATTCTGAGGAAAGTATTGCCTTGATTCTATGTTCATATGTTTCTTGTATGATGGTAGAAGAAATGCTATTGTGATATAATGTGGTCTGACTAATAATATATTTGTGTCATCAGAATACAGTAACAGCCATACAGTGTGAGGGATTTGGTAGTATGGGTCTTAAAAGTGAGCTTGTTAGCATTCTGTGCTGTTCTCATTCAGAATTTCTCTAAAGACAAGTTTGACAGATTCCCAGAGCTGTCACAGAGCCTGTAGAATATGGCTTATATCTGCTTACCAGATTGAGTTGCAAGAGATCTATTTCTATACTATTCTTCTCATTTTGTTCAGTCAAAATTATGAAATACAAAGCAATAAATTTCCTACTTGGTAATCTGTGTGGGTATGGGGTGGTTGGCATTTTTGTGTTGTACAATCTGTTGGCATTTATTATGTGACTGAAACAAGTTTCTGAGTTAACTTTTATGTTGTCCATACTTCCTTTCAGATGTTCGGTTGCTGCTTAATAATGACAATCTTCTCAGGGAAGGGGCAGCCCAGTAAGTACCAAATGCCACCCACTCAGCTGCATAAAAGCAAGATGTTTTTCAGTAAGATTTTCACAGTCAGTGCATTTAAAGAGATGTGTGATTGGCAAGTAAAACTCTATTGTGTGTTGTGCATCTTGATCAAGATTAAAATCTTCATAGTGGAGAGATGTGTATTGTATCCTAATAATCAGAGCAACTGTTTTGGAAATGGATGACCTGGATTTTGGTATGAGTCTCCCCCTTTTCAGATTTCAGTGTCTGTTTCTTGGTAGATGTTACTGAACACCTGTAAGATACTGCTTCATTAAACCCTATTTTATATCAAAACTTTATGCTGCTGTATTTTATGCCAAAATCAGTTTGATCTCTAAGAATGGAGATGTCTGGCTTAGTAGGTTGGATCCCTGTGGAATTTAAACTTTTATATGTTCTTCCAGTTTCTGTGGGTTACTGTAAAGCTTATGTTTGTCTGGATCAGGTAACTTTTGAACATAAATATTTGTGTAATGATGGTTGGAATCTGTAGTGTGACCACTGTGTGAACCAAGGGGATTCCAAGAATTTGGGCCTGCTAGATAATGAAGCATCGATACAATTTTTTATGCATCATTGCTGAGATTATTAACTATTATTTGTATCTCTTATGGCTACTAAGGAAAGAGATTGTGCTTGATGCAGGCTTTTGTTCTTTTTTTTTTCTCTTGTAGTGCATTTGCACAGTACAACTTGGACCAGTTTACTCCAGTAAAAATTGACGGTTACGATGAACAGGTATGACTACAATTAAATACTTGCAATCTTCCTGAAACTGTTCAAGATGTTCTGTTGTTGGAACATTTCATGGCAAGAAAATTGCAAGACATACATCTTCCCTACCAAAACATAGAGATTGTGGTCCTCCAGCAGTACTGGTACCAGTTCTGTACGTTAATCACTCAGGGGCATCTAAAGAGCTTGAAATTTCAGTCTGCAATGTTGGCTGAATTCAGTCAGACATGTTTTGGAGCTGCAAAAAACAATTTGCTTCATCTTTAGTACTAGAAGACATGAATTTTTGTCTTGCATTGTTTGTTGCAGTAAGAGGGTAAGATTCAGGATGTTTCTTTCCTGAGGCAGAATGTCATGTTAGCTTTCTCCTCTTTTGCTATATGTGTATTATGTTTAAAATGTGAGCCTTTGGATGTAAGCTCCAGTTAAATGTAGGATATGACTTGATTTGGCATGGAGTTTTTTTCTCTTTATTCAATAGTCAATGTTATTAACTAATTTTGTATGTTTTATATAAGTGCATGTAAATGTAAATATAAAATTTTAACTAAATTTTTATAATACAGGTTTTGATAACAGAACATGGTGATTTGGGAAATGGAAAATTTTTGGATCCCAAGAACAAGATTTCTTTTAAATTTGACCATTTAAGAAAGGAGGCTACTGATCCTAGACCCCATGAAGTTGAAAATGCCATAGAATCATGGAGAAATTCAGTTGAAACAGCAATGAAAGCATACGTGAAAGAGCACTATCCAAATGGTGTCTGCACAGTAAGTGCTAAATTACATAGCCACTGTACCACCTTCTAAATAGAAATTATATTTTTTAAGGTAGCTATTTGTAAACCAGGTAGATAGGCAGTTTTGACTGTAAACCATTTAGTTCTGTCAGGGGTTCATACAGGGAAATGAGGGAAAGCTTCAGGAGTCTGATATTTCAGCTATTGTATTGTTAGTGGCTGGTTACTGCAGGCCACAGTGAAGACTGAATTCTCGGTTCTGAAGCATTTTTATTTACATTTCTTAAAGCATTAAGACCTTCTGTAGACTACTGCAGGTAGATCCTGCTGGTCCTGGCTACCTGGCTCATTGCTTGGGGCAGGGGGACAGAATCCTTAAGATGCAAATGTGTGCCTTGGCTTGGTTTCCTGACAAAACTGTCTTAGTAAGGCTAATTGCTTTCTCTCCATCAGATCCCCTTTATGTCAAAGTGCTATATTCTTACTACAGAATCAGCGGCTCTGATGGCTTCTTAAAATAAAAGCTCTCAGTCTGGATGAAAACAGCATTTATTTGCTGTTATGAGTCCTGTGGCTATTTAAACCTCAGCAAACTGATCTATTGGTAGCTGTCCTGTGCTTTATGTTAATGTGACAGAAAAATGAACTAGGTAAAGAAAAATAAATCAGTTGCTGAGTTAACAAGTTGAATTGGAGTCCCAGGCAGTCAGATGAATTCCAGCTTCTGTAAAGGGAACCAGATTACATGTTCATTGAGATAATTTTTAGTAGTATTTGATTTGGGGGGTAAAGCAGAACAGAGGACCAAGCCCACCCTTTTAGTCACTTTTTTGCTATTTTGTAGAGGCTTAAATCATCATTTAGTTGTAGGACAACTGGTGTTTGAAACATAGCTGGTAATATATATATATTGAGTAGTCACTGCTATAAGCTTAAAATTCCTATAGTTGCAGAAAAATGAGTTTACAGTATATAAAATTCAGTAAGATGCTTGACCTTCAGGTTTTCTAATCATCAGTTTATCTGCTCTGTAATAATGACCTTAATGTTTCATGTATGGAATACGATGTAAGGACCATAATGGTTATAAATGTAATTTTTTAGTTTATATAGCAGTAGTAGAAGCTCAATTCTCTGAGCAGTTTGAGAAAGATAAACTGAAGCTTTGACTCTGGTGGTTTTTTCCTTTCTTTCTTTTTTTTTTCCCCTAACTAAGGTGTATGGTAAAACAATTGATGGACAGCAAACCATTATTGCATGCATAGAGAGCCATCAGTTCCAAGCAAAAAATTTCTGGTAAGTTTCTGTTCAGATGCACATACACTAAAATGCAGCAAACTGAGCAAGTGCCGTTACACTGAGAATCCTTAGTTCAGAGAAGGTGAGTGCACATCTAGTTATGTATGTGATGTTTTTCTCCCTCCACCCCACTCCAAACCTTTTTGCCAGTACTGTAGAAATCTCTTCCATTGTGGTGAGTAGCATGCCAGATTGTGTACCTGCATAAAATTCCATATGACCCTTTGGTTTATCACAGCAGCATCAATACCCATCGCTGTGTTCCGTAATACAGTTGCTACTGCTTGTGTTGCTTCCTTTGTGACTGGCACAATAAAAACAGCTCCTTCTAGCTTGAATGCCTCAGAGAAATAAGGTGACCAAAATTTACTTTACTGTAGGACTTGAGTGATTAATTTTGGGGTGAGGTAGATAAAGGTGATTTTGGATGCAAATGAAGTCTTACAAACTGCAACTTTCTTTTTTTTCTGGACTTGGTCAAAAGAGGTTTGGATGTGAACTTTGGATAGCTCCTTGCAGGAAGCTGGCTAGAGTTGAGATAAACATCACAGTATCAGGAACGGGTTAAGGAGGTTATATCCTAAAAGTAGCTAATATATGCAGTTGTCTGAGGAAATGTATTTCATTATTATATTTGCTATTTTGCATCTGCTTGAAATTTATATTTAGTAATCCCATGGGTAATGAATGGAAGTGCAGTGATGTTTGTTATGTTATGCTGAAGGTGAATATTACATATGCACAGGAATTTCAGCATGTGTATGTATCAGTTACATTATTTGCCCAGGACACTGATTTGTATTGGATTTGTACAGCTAATAAATATTTTTTCCTTCTGACTTACGCTTGAGGAGTTAAGCCTGCATGTTTTACATTGATATTAAAAGTAGCTTGAAATAATACTGATTTTCTTTTTAGTTTGGAAGTATGAATGAATTTTGATATTCCAGATAGTTACTTTAATATTATAGTTTTTAAAGAAGAGGAACATACGCAGCAACCTTTTAAAAGTGGAGAAAATATTTCTTGAAAGTTTTATTTAAATTATGATCAGACATCTATGGGTAAATATTGACCATGTTTCTAAGGGTTTTTCAGGGGGATAGTCAGACTCTAATTCCTAGTGAGTTGTAATAAATGTGTATTGGTTTAGGGGATTTGGGAATGGAGGAATGGATTGAGAGTTAACCAGGCTCCTCAGTGATCCAGCTGTATGTCTGGATATCCAGTCCAAACCACAGCCAGTATTTATCATCAGGGTGTCCTAGCTTTTTAGGCATTTGGTCGGCTGTCAGCTTACCATGAGAGCAAGTTTGCTGGATCATAGGAACCCGATACATGTTAAAGAAAAATACTCTATGATTGTCTGAAATACTATCAATGTAGCTGGATAGATGGTTTAATAAAGTAATTACATTGTTTCTACCTTATAAGAGCATCTCCTACAGATGGGTCCTTTTGAACTTGAACTCTTTTTAGAATTGCATCTTAAGGGCAAAAAAGATAGTGGAAACATTGTGGTCATCTTAACTCCAAGGGACCACAAAGTGACTAAACAGCACACAAATCTGTTAGGTAGCCACTGAATCCCAGGCATCTGAAATCTAATATTGTGCCTAAAGCATAGTTCAGCACATAGTCTTTCTCATAAACAATGGGTCAGTCTGTAAGGCTACCAGTAGTATTAGTGTCACTGAGCTGGGCAATCCTTTCAGTTTTCTTAGCAATGCCAACAAGCTTCTGAATTGTCTTAGCATGAATTTTCAGTGATAACTTGGATATTGTCTGAAATAATAACCAATGGCTTTATAATTAAGTTATCATTATTAGTATCTAAGATGTGTCAATACAGATTCATTAGTAGCTGTAAATTTTAGTATTTCATCTCTTTCTCTCTCCTTGTTGAATGCACTGGAATCTACACCTGACAGGTGTAGATTAGCAGGATTGGAACTCATAGTATCAACTTTCTTTCCTTCTTGAAGTGCAAACAGAGGAGGAATTAAGGACAGCTGCAGTGCATTCTTAATGCAGCTTTAATGTAATTACTAACCTTCTAATCTACTAACCTCAAAACTAAGTAAGAAAATGTCTAGTCTACAGAAAAGAAATCAGGTGAAACTACACTGCCCCGTACTGTTTTCCAGATGTTTGAAATTCCCTTTAAGCATCTTGGCAAGGATATTGAATTTGTGGAAGGAAATAGTTGTCCTGGAAGGGAAATGCTAGAAGAGCTGAAAGGCCTAGTTACAGTTCAGCATAGCGGAAGTTTTGCTTCTTTAATGTCCCTTCCATTCAAGTTTTTGATAGCCTGAGGCAATTGTGACTTTGGCTGATCCAGTAGGTCCCAAAACCAAAATACTGACTGTATATGCCTAATTAATACTACAGGAGGAAAAGAACATTGGAGGTTTTAGGTGTTTTCAGAAGTTAAGTCCTATTATTAAATGATCCTTACCGATAATTCTCCTTGGTCTGTATCCAAAACTGAGGTTAAATATTTTGGGAAACTGTTCTCTTCTTGACTGATTATGAGGCTGAATCATTAGGGGGAAATTTTGCACATGTGTAGTTGCACTGCAAATAATAATTCTCAGGTTTCCTTTGACTATCTGTTATATGTTGGGGGTTTTGCCTTAACTGATGGGATGACATCCAATTTCTGTTTTATTGTTTTTTTTAAAGGAATGGCCGTTGGAGGTCAGAGTGGAAGTTTACAATCACCCCTTCAACCACTCAAGTGGCTGGTATCTTGAAAATTCAGGTATGCTTATCTCAAGCTGTGTCCTGATCAGTAAAGTGTCCAGTTATTATCAAGGGATACTCAGACCCAGTATATTTAATGTGTTCAGAGAATCTGGGGACTCAGTGAGCAAAGCAGTGATGTCCATTCAGTTAAGTGTTGTGACTTAATTGCATATTTACCTAATCCTTACAAACATAAAGTGTGTGTTTAATGTAATAATTAAGAAGACTTCAGAAGGTATGTTCACCTCAGCTAGGCATATACCTGGTTTTTTTTCGTTTTCCCCTACTGTTCAGAAGGGTTTGAACCTTTGGTTTCAACAATTTCACCATCAGAAATTTTTGAATCTGGATCTGCTTCATTCAGAATTTGCCCTTTCTGTTGGCTTTAGGACATTTGGAATGGAGGAATTCCAAGCAGCAGAAATCTCAAGACCAATGGAAGTCTGGCTGTCATGTGGTGGCCAGGGAGACTTGACTTCCTGGGTTGGTTCCCTGGAATGTGTATGCATACTTTGCAGGAATTTATTAAAACAGTTGTGGGATCAGGGACTAGAATCTTCGTGCAGTCTGACTTTCAGCATAGTACTTTATTATCTTTTTTGCAAGACATGGAGTCAAATTCCCTTATCCTGTTTCTTTTTGTGCCCTGTGAGTTTTGCACTTCCTTACTACTCAGTGACAGCAAGGAATGTTTTTCTAGGATGTTATTTTAGAATGTGGTAGTTGTGTTCAGATCCACCCGGGCAAGGGGACCTGAATCTGATTTCCCATTCGGGGAACATTTGGAATGATAATCAAAATGTGGACAGCCATTATCATGTTGTCAGATCACAACAGTCATGGTAAGCAGCACCTTAAGTATATGTCTAGGCTTCTCAAGACTTTGCCGTTTAAATCCAGGTTGCTGCAAAACAGGCATTTTCTCCACAGCACACACTTTTGGTTATATGTCTTAAGAGGTTTTCCAGAAGGAGACAAGTATCTGCCTAATTCTAGGAAAGGTTAGCCCAGCCACCTAGAAAATAGTGTGAATGAGGAATGTATTCATGTTCTGATCAGCTTTTCACTTTGCATACCAGCTGTTTTTGTCTTTTATTACTATTTCATATAATTAAATCATTGTTTACATTCATTCAAGTCTGTGTTCTGGAGAGCGGTGAAAAGTTCTACTGTTTTTTGCTTGTATAGGAACTACTTGTTTCATCGAGGAATTTTGAATTTGGGTTCAAAGTTTTAGAAATTGTGTACAATTTCTTCAGTGTATGTGGGAGTACTCCTTCACCTCCCAAAACAAACAAAAAAGGTGATGTCTTTTTTTTTTTTAAAGAACAAAATAATCTTCAACAATATTAACTCCTTACAACATTAGTGAAATTTTAGAGGAATTTCAGTGTTGTTTGCAAAATCTCTGACAGCAATATGCCATTGCCCTGTTTCTGATAAGATCTTTTATGAATGAGATGGGGAAATTGCAGCATCACCTGCTGTTTTCAGGAGTCTTCAGTATTTTTAAGATCACTTGAACAATTTCTTCTTTTTTCATTCTCAATTGTCAATCTCTTCCATTGTTTAATTTTCTTATATCTAAGGGGAAAAGGAACAGCAGAGCCTTTTACTAAAACTGAGTGCCTGCAGTGTTTAACATGCTCCAACTGTGCATGGAAAACAACTGATAAGTGTGCTGTTAACTAATTTTGTCTCTTAGATAATTTGTTATTCTCATCCCTCCTTAGTTAACCTTTCCAAGAGGTTCTGTTCATAAACATCCTCCTTCTTGTAGTCTTCTGACCCCAGACCTAGCATTCTAAAAGGATGTCAGCAGTGAGGTATAGTACAGAACAGTTACTTCTCATATTTTGTTTTGGGTATAACACATCCCAGAATTAGATTCTGCTTTTCATCCTTAAGTTTTTAGGCCTCAGTGTGTGCCAAGAATGTGATTCAGTGACACAGATAAGATGTTTGTGCTGGTGTTGGTCTCAGAGCACAGGGGAGGTTTGGGCCCTCTGCAGTGGATTATGATGGACAAGGCAGGAGAGAGATTTATACTTCTTTGGGTTCTGCTGTTTCATTGGGAGTTCTCAGAATTCTGCACTGACCAGACAATGCTCATCTTTTAGGAAATGGATTGGAAAAGGGTGACAAAAGTTTCACCCAGCAATGTTTGATTTGAAAAGAAACTTACTTTATGGTTAGGTTAACACCTTTTGCTGGAAAGCAAGTATTTGACAATAAGCAAAATAATCATATAATATGAGTCATCGGAAATAGGTTTCCTGTATGAGAAAAACATTTTCTTTTGCATGGTATTGTAGCTGTCTCACTATGTGTTATGTTTTTTCTATGGTTGTTTATAAAGTTGAGCATCACTTGCACACGTGATCATGAGGAATATGAAATTACACTATTGTGCATTAATCTCAAAATTAAAATTGTATCCTGCCTAATAGGGTGAGGCACAAATGTTTAATTTTCTCATAACATCAGCGACATTGACTGTCTTGACTGTCAAAATTGTAAAAAATCTTTAAAGATACCCGTTTAAACATCATGAGCTGTGTAACTTATCTGTAGCAATTGTTGTGAAGGATTGCATGTAATTTTATAAAAACTTCCTGGGATGTAAGTTTTTCAGCAGTTGCATTAGAAACTAAATGTTTCCAGATCCTTCCCTACTGAATTTAAAAGTATTAAAGTTAGCTTGGGTAGAGTTTACTGGTCTCCTCCTGCAAAATAACCAAGGAAGCTGTTCTGTAGATATAACAGTTCGAGAATAAGGAGATTTCATTCTGCTTTGCTATCTAACCTTGGCAAAGATTGTTCCAAAGTACTCCTTTCTGTAGATAAGTACCAGCTTTTGTCATATGCCATATCTGATAGAGGAAAGCATCAAGCCCAGGCAGATCTAGAAAGGGAAGCTTAATGTTGCACTGTCTCTAGAAGACAGTTTGTGTTGAAGCAGAAAAGCTTCACTCTATCCTGAAACCTTGCCAAAGCTATTCTAATTTTAAATATATCTTCACCATTTAGAATAGTCTAGTTCATTTCAAGAGCTTCTAGTAAGGTCACATAAATAGTATGTTGTCTTTCTCATGATGTTAATCAAACCTAAACTTCTTTGCATGGAAATCTACTTAAGGCACAACCATACAAAAATGTTTCCAGATCAGCCTCTTCAGTATTCCCCCTCAAAAATAGTAAGTTCTGCAATATTTTGGCTTTTCTATTTGCCCTTTTCTCTAACCTTTTATATCTGGTTTTGTTTGATTTGTTATTGTGATACAATACTTTGATTTTCCTATATGTTGTTGATCTGTAACATTTAATATGATGTTCTTTGTTTAATTTGCTGTAGGTTCACTATTATGAAGATGGTAATGTTCAGCTGGTGAGCCATAAAGACATACAAGATTCTCTAACAGTGTCGGTAAGTGAACTTTAAAGACCCTAGTGTGTATATTGAAGTGACTTTTTATTGAAACATAGAAGCAAACTTAAAAAAAGCTCAGAAGTATAAGACTAGTTTACTCTTCTACACATACGGGAATTAATGTTTACTACTTTTATTTAATATGTGGTTCATGTTAAAAAAAACTTAAAAAATTAATGTATGCTTGCATGTGGCTTATGAGCTGGATTAACTTTCATTTTAAAGCTTCAGTTAGCTTGCTGTCAGTCTTTCTGCCTTTCTGTTGTATTTAAATTTGGTCTGCAGAGTGACCTATAGAATTAATTTTTGAATATGAAGGAGGTTTGAGTTACAGTAGTTGACTTTAAGTAGTACAATCTCTAGGATATTGTCTCCTTTGCTTACTGGAGGAAGACCAGTATGCTAAAAACAGTAAACAAATACTACCAGTTGAGAAGCAGTAGTGTGTATTGTCCCTTCTTTTTTTCCCTGTCTGTAACTGGTGCTGTCAGCCTCTTGCTTTTCTGTACAAAAAGCCCTTTCAGAGATGCTTCAGCCTGAGAAGCATAACACACTTTTTATTTAAAGCATCATTTTTTTTTCAATTTCTTTCCAAATGGATCATTATAGTAATGAGGAGCAAACAGTAGAAATAAAGTTTGGAAATAGTACTGGATGTATCTTTTAAGGATTGGTAATGTGGCAGCATGAACAACTGCTACTTTTGAAATACGTGTTTATAATTGTGTTTATAAACAGTAAGATTTTCTGTTGGAGTGTATTTTAATGAAACATAAGCTATTGAGGTTAAACTGGCAAAGTGAAATTGTAAAAGTGAACAGTAGAAGTCTTTTAATGATAAGGCCTAGCAGTGACCAGTTTGGCTCAAAAGCTCAGTTCATCAATAAAGAGCATTGTTTGTTAATATAAAGCAGGGCTTGTTGGCTTTTCAGTTGCAGTAGCACCATACAGAATGGGGGAGTGTGGTGCCAACTGATAAGACTTCTGGAGCTGTAGATATAAAATTGCTTTTGACCCCCCTAAGCGAAGGGATCCGTTTTGTCTTTCATTCAACTAAGAATTGCTTCAGGGAAGATTATGTGGATGCAGTTCTCCTTTCAATAGCTTTTGCTCACTTTCTATTGGGAAGAAACTTAATCTTCTTTTGCAATTCAGTAAAGCAGCAGAAGACCAATGAGTAGGAAAACATCTTTTACATAACTTTTCTACCTCCTGCTACAACAAATGCAAGTATGTGCTGGTTACCAACTTTTAACCTTTGCTTTGAACTTCATAGAGGGCAGAGGCTGTACAAGTTCTTAGTTTACACAGAAGAAATAATAGGTAGATTAAAAGAAGCCTCAGTGGCTTCTTTTCTTTTGCTGTTTGGCAGAGAAGCCATTTTATGCCATCAACAGGCACTACTGAAATAAATGACTGAAGAGTTCTCTTGTTTCTCGAACTGTGAATGATTTTGCTGAACCTTATTTCCTTATCCCTTACCTTTCTCTGAGACAAATAAGACCTCATACCTCTGTATTTTTCCTTTCATTAGCAGAGCCTTTTAAAGCATTGCCTCAGTTCACTGAAAAATCAGAACTCTTTCATTTGCTCTACTTGGTCTCTGCCTCCTCCTCCATCTCTCTTGCAGTGTCCAGGAGCACTTTCACAGCTGTTAGGTGCAGTTTCACTGAAACTTTGAACCAGTTATAGTTGAAGCTGCCAGAGTTTTCTCCCCGTCTTTGCCTTTGTAGGAATGAGGGATCACATGGGGCAAGAACACTCCTAAATTTCAACAGCTTCTACAAAACACCCCTAGGAATGCCTCCAATGCTAAGTTGGAAGTTTGGAAATTCATGAACCCTCACTTCCTTCTAGATACTTACTTATTTCAAGCACTTCAGCTGATTTGCCTCCAGATGGGATGACACACACTTGCATACTTAAACTGTTTCTAGGCTTCTGGCTTCATCCTTATCAGTCCTGTTGAAATTTGGACATTGCAGTGTTTACACACTCATTTTTGCAAGATGTACTTGGGGATGTTTTCAGCAGAACAGGTATATAAAATCTAGTGTTTTCATTAGCTTAGTTTCCAGATTCAGAATGTTTAAAGGTGAATAAATCTGTTTTGGTTTTGTGGTTGTATTCTGCTACAACTTCTGGATTAGCTGATGTTCTAGACATTTTCTTGATTTTGCACTGGAAATGTGACATTGATAATGTTATCCATATTTTGCATGTTTCTAGAGACTTGTGTATGCATTGTCAAATTTCCAAATGCTGTTCTGTTCCATATGCCTTTTTATCATACCATAGAATTTTTAATCAAAATATTTCAATGAGCTCCATGGTAATCTTTATGCTCGTTGCAGTTTGACATGTTTTACTTTTTAACATAATAATAATATGGGATATGTCTTTTGCATGAATGTTTTGTTCAGTTTTGGTTTAGCCACTAAATGGTCAAGTGTTCTCATGGAGTCTACCTGACTTCACTCATAGCTATACGATAAAACATAATCCAACTGGTCCTAGAATTATGCTGTACATCAGACCTAATGCAGATGCTTTTTTTCCTAGAATGAAGCCCAGACAGCAAAGGAGTTTATAAAAATTGTAGAGGCTGCAGAAAATGAGTATCAGGTATGTTGGAAACAAATGCTGAATCCTTACTCACATTTTTAGCGGTGCCGTGCACCTAACCAAAACTAGTATTCTAGAACTAGCAAGCTTTGGATAGTAAGCAGTTTCATAGAAATATAACTAGCTCATGTGCTGCCATGAACTCTGTCTTGCCATTCCATACCTTCTAGTGATTGAACTTACCTACTTAACATTACAATAGCAGTAATTTTTTGAGAGCAGAAAAGCATGATCAGATATCGGCAGTTCTAATCTCTATAAGCATTAATGCATTCCTTACATGGAATTTTTGTACAGATTCTGTTCAGAGGCTACTCTGTTAGTTTTGCTAAATGTGACTGTAGGCATTACCTATTTCAGTTAGTCATTTCAAAGTTAGAAAAGTGTAACTGTTCTGGATTCCCTCCGTAGAAGTGGATACATGTTCATCCAGGTCTTGAACGTAAGGTAAATTTCAGGCACCATGTTCTATCAGTTTGAAACAGATGCTCTTTAATAAAAAATTTTATAGTTTGTATGGCATGCATTATATTAAAGTTCATACAGTGTTGTGGACTGACTTTACCCATCCCCACAGGAAAAACAGAGGAGGACTTTGGTGTCTGGAGTTAATAATATATGAGCTAACTTTGATCAGCACTTTATTCATGCTGCTGATTGATCACACCATGGTTTGCTGGAACACCTTGCTGTGGCCAGGTGTCCTGCATGTCTCACTCATTTTCTTCACATAGTTTCAATCTAGGTCTAACAGGTTTCCTTCATAAAATAGTATTTCCATTTAGCATATTTTATTAAGCCTGTTTAAGAGGTAGCAGGTTACTCAATCATTTAATGCTTATAGAGCATCCTAGCCCTGTTCCTCATGTGTCTTTGTTTTGTGTGACCTGTGTTTAACAGACTGCTATCAGTGAGAACTATCAGACGATGTCGGACACTACTTTCAAGGCCTTACGTCGACAGTTGCCAGTGACCCGCACCAAGATTGACTGGAACAAGATCCTTAGCTATAAGATTGGAAAAGAGATGCAGAATGCTTAAAGTGAACGTTGCATGACTGGATCATTTTAGTGTCCTTGTATACAAATAAAAATTATTACAAAAAGTATTTGGAACTGTCAAATCACCCAGTCAGCATGGGCTTTTGCCATTGAAAAATCACTGTAAGTAGTTTGGTTAGAGCACAAAGCTTAGCTAATTGACTTTTTTCCTTTTTCTGTCCTTTCAGAGGGTTGCAACTTCAGTATAGCTGAATACCTTCCTTTAGAGTTTCTGTTGTACCTTTATTTTTTTATAATGAAGAGACCATGCCTTTAGTTTTCAATTACACATTAAGAACAGTTTGAAAAATATTTTTGCATATGATAACCCGTTCTCTTGCTTTCATGTGAAATGAACAACTTCTGAAATTTGCTGGGTCTCTTGTGGAGAAGAAACTTGCATTTCTAGGTCAAGGTCAACATGGAGTTAGCCATAGGTGCTGTTTTTGAAATAATCTATCCTTTCATTGTATGTAAAATTGGGAAAAACATTTTCTGTATCATTTAAGCACATTGGAAGACTTACTTAGCTAACTCCATCCTAACTAATTTTTTTTTAAAGACAAGGCCACTGTCTAAAGCTGTTTCAAGATTTTGAAATTAAATAAAAGTACTTACTCCAAAAATGCATTTAATGCTTTGTTCTGACAATTACTTAAATGAGCCCAAACTCCATCTGCCCTCGAGGTTTTTTTATCATAAAGCTACAAATGTATTATAACAAGGCATATTGTAATATATATATAATCCTGTACTCGTTACTATGTCTGTTTATTTTTTCTTGGATTGAAATGTACTAAAATTCAATGTGACATTAAAACGCAAATTTTCTATTTATTTGAGTATCAGATTGCTTCCTGATATACCCTAGTTTTGATGTTTCTAGAGATGTTTAAAGTTCTGCTTAAAACAGCCACAAATTTGTGGCTTATTGGCTATTCTCAGTGTATTTGGCAATTGTAATATCAGTATCAATTGTTTCCATCTGCATTTAAGAAACATTGACATATGGAAATGTACTCAAACCAGGTGTCTTTTGGCTTCATATTGGCTATAGAGGATGGGAGAAATTACAAGACCAAAAATAATGTATTTGTCTAGAGAATGCTTTCCCTGTCTGATATATCTCTTATTGAAAATGAATGTCAGGTATCTAAAAACACATACTTCATTACAAATATTGTATAACACTCCTATGAAATGCATAGGTTTCATTTTTAATTGGATGAAAACTTGTTTGATAATATGCTACCTGCTGATATGCTCATGATGGAAAATTAAACAGCTTTTTTATTTTCTAGAAGGCAGGTGTTTATGCACACTCCTAAAGCAGTAAAGCTCACACAGAGGTTTTATGTCTTTGTTTACAGCATGATCTAATTAGTTACCTTAAACTGTTAAGCTACAACATAGCAAGAGTCTTAGACTGGTGAGTATAAAAATGCACACAACAAAGTAGTTTACTGTTCGAATTCTAATAGCAATACCCCTATATTCTGTTCTTCAGTGCTCTCTTATAAAGGGGTATAGAAGTTCTTGAAACTGCTGCTACTTTACAGTGCTAAACTGTATAGTAGAAGAGTGGGATTTGTTCTACCACAGTCTTCCTGGAGAGTTGCCCTCTCAATTGTCTTCATAGATCAGCT